AACTAAAAAGGAATGTACTTTCTCAAATTTCCTGGCACAAATTGAACTTTTCGTCTGAAATAGTTCCTTATCTCCAATTCAAGTAAATTTCGAAACCACCACCAGAAACTATATCAAACTGTAAAATTATTAATTGGGTTGCTTTAAGTAAATCACACCATTAAAGACAAATGTTTGTACTAGCATTCGACATGACAAACAGGATACAAGAATTGAAAAAAATAAAAATAAAATTGCAAGATCAGTAGCACATATATTAACAGGGACAGCTAGAGAGGGAGAGAGACTACCAACTGAAATCCCATTTGTTTGGGGCGTCAGCTGTGACGTCAGAAGCTAAAGTTTCCATCTTTGCGCAGTGTGTGATTTGGAAAAGCTCAGCAAGAAGAAAAGCAATTGTTTGCTGGACAAGGAGGAGATAGATAAACCGTGCGCGTTGTCTAGGGCAAAGATGGACCGTTTCGGTTCATAATCGGTTTATCCAAGGCGATCCAATTTTCTTTTTCTTTTCTATTCTTTTTCTTTATTGGAATTTGGAATATATTAATAATGGAAGAATTTCCTTTTCTTTTCTTTGCTTTTGTTTTTTTCCCTTAAATTTATCAACATAAATAAAATAACTATTGCCATTCGTTGGATCAAGTAATTTTAGGTATCCTTATCATGTTAAATTGTAATTCTATCTTAATATATAATTATATATCAAACTTTTCAACTCTTTCTTTTCACAAAATTCCCAAAACATTTTTTTTTTTCTAAAGAAATAATTTTTTAGCTGATAAAGCATTCCAATTGCACCCTAAGACTTAATTAACTTAGTAATTAGACTGTTGTGAAACTTGCAACTAATATAATGTAAGAAGATTACACTATTATTCACGTTAAAAAAAACCCCTAACTTTTGGTATAGTTGCTGTCAATGAATATTCCAATGCAATGGTTGGCTTATTCGTCTGAAATTGTTTTTCGAGTACAAAGCATATTAGAATATTCTTCTGGTATATTACTCCATTGGCCCAGCTGCTATATATATTTGCATTATTGCCCCAAAAATATTTAGTTCACCTCCTCCGGCAGCACTTCCGGCCGTTCCAAAAAATCAATGGATCACGTCAAATCCAACGGCAAAAAATCAATGGATAACTGTGTTCTCACCGATAAGGATCGAATTTCCGAACATCAAGGTACATTGACTTGCATTATTCAGTACATAAGTCCACAAGAGAATATAGTATCTAATACTTTTTCTATTCGATTATGTAAATTTATATATCAAAACTGAGGGTACAATGAAGTTGGCTCCTCACTCGAGATACAATAAGGAATTCAAAATGTACATAATTTGTTTTTTTGTGTACAAATGTAACAGGTCTTGTGCAGTAGCTCGATTGGTCCTGAGAATATCAAACAATCATGCGATTGATATGGCTGCACGAAGTCGAGAAGCTAAAATGCTTCAGAAATTCATGGCATTAGAAGGTAAAAAGTTGAATTATAATACTCTTTCTATAAAAAGTAGCATAATTGCAGTAACTCCAGTCATCTTTTTTGGAATTGCAAATAACCCTCTTCAAATTTGTCTCTGGTGCAATTGTAATTAGCAGATTAAAGACCATGAATAGTTTTTTTGTAATTACCTATTGTTGAAGTTAAGCACTGAGTGGATTTACAAGCTGAGAAAAGGTATTTACTATTTACCACTTTACCTGTGTTAGCTTAAGTAAGAGCAGATACAACTCTAACAGGATTAAGCCTCCTTACGCCTCTTCTAAAGTGCTCGAATGCGAACACAAAAAGGCCGAATAAGTAAAGTAAGAAAATATGTAGCTTCTGTACACTTTCGACTATAAAGGATGAACCGACTGATTTCCATAATGATATCCGAGTAGATTTAGACCCTGGAAAAGGATGGAGAGAATAGAAAAAAAGAGTACATTTAGTAAATTGTCTTTAGGATACATTTTGATAAAGGATGAACCGCCTCTTCGAAGGGCGTGTTTGGATAGTGGATACAAATATATTCGCTCAAAACGATTTTTTATGGTTAACCATGATTAATTTTGAAAAAGTTAGTATAGTTAGTTGTTAGTGGGATTTTGAGTTTATATTAATATAATATTTAAAATAAAATAATTAAAGTTAATTTGATGTAAAAGTATGAGAGAGATGATGTGAAGTGATGGTTAGTTAAAATTATGTGAGTTGATGAATAGTAAATTAAAGTTGATGTAATATGCAAGAATGATTAGTTTGATATTATTTAATTATATTGATAATATTGAGGATAGTGATGTTTAGTTAAAATTGAGCTAGATTTTGAGTATGAATTAAGTATGAGTTGAAATAATTGATAAAATAAACACAACCTATGATAGCATAACTTTGTATATAAGCAGAACTCACCACTGCTTTTATTGGACAAATTTGTCCATTCTTGTAGTTTCACCACACTTTGTGATGCCCTGATCAACTCTAAAAGAGCTCTATTGACCTGAGATTTTAACGAGTAAGCCATGTAAGCATTAATGACTGTATATGGTTTTAATCGCTCACTAAACACATTTTTCAGAGGGGCCCAACTGCATTCAACTGAAAATTCTCCAGTCGTTTTTCCTTGAACTCATTTTATTCCGTGAGCCTTCATCCCTATAGACATCTATTTCTTTATTCAGCTTCGCATCATCATATTTAGGAAATAATCCGTAAAAGAAACACCTCAGGGGCATAATTGCCATTTACAAAAATATCTTTCATGTACCTCTTCTGTTCTCTCATGGCTCACAAGATGGCCGCCATTAAGCTCGACCATTCTTGCACAGGGATACAATTTCTCTGCGAGTCGCTTTGCATGGCACATTTGAGCTATAACATCATGCCTACACAAACACACACACACACACAAAAGAAGAAAAAAAATGTCATCTTACTTGGCCAATATAGTTCATGTGATCTGACAAAATAGGTAAAAAAAAAAAACCTCTAAAACTTTTGTCAGTGAAAGCTACCTGCCATGAATTACAGATACAGGAAAACCAGCCGCACGAATAGACTCGATTTCAGTTCGTGACATTTCATGGGTCCAGCAGGCATTAACCTGACCATCAAATCCGTAACTCGATTGCATGCCAGTTGATGATATTCCTTTTACATATTCCTGCACAAATATAACCGGTTTGTTTTATAAATTCAATTTCTGATACTTACAAGTCACAATAATGCTGCTATCTAGCATTTAATAGAGGATATAAATTTTTTCAAAAAAATCCAATCACTTTTTTTAACTCTAATCAAACTCAACTTCAACTCAACCAACTATCCTCAATATTATCAATATAATTAAACAATATAACTCAATCATTATTACACATTACATCAACTTTAATTCATTTTTCATCCACTCACATAATTTTAATTAACCATCACTTCACATCATCTCTCTCCTACTTTTACATCATCAACTTTCATTATTTTATTTTAAACATGATTTTAATGTAAACTCAAAATCCTACTAACAACTAACCATACCAAACCAAAAATCCAAACAAAACCAAAAAAACTTATCCAAGCATAACATTAATGTTCAGGAATTAAGTATGTAAATGAATGTTCTGAATTTAAGAGTTGGCATTTGCATTTGCATACTTGGTATAAAATCGATCTTCTGGTCTTTTGTCCAACTAACTCTTCAAGATATTCCTGCGTGTAGAGGACACGAAAGAAAGATTTCACTCAATTCCCAGTCATCCCCAATCATCAACAATCCACTTAAATTTAGTCACATTATAAATTCACAGAATATATACACATATATACACACATATATATATATATATTGACCTGCGAATAATGAGTATCTAAATCAACAGCCGCCCTCTGCTCAGGAGTTTTAGCCTTCAGAAACCGCATTGCAATTGACAAAGTTTGACGATCCAACTGAAATGAATATGAAAAGATAAATTCACAGGTTTTATATTTACTGAAAATTCTGATCTAAGTAAAATTTCTCATAGAAAGTCAAGCAGTCAATGCCAAGCCGAAGGCTCGTGACCAGACCAGAAAACATAAAACTTTGTGTCATGACAACTTTTCGAGCATTGCACCAAAATTTTCCCAAAGATCATGTCTGATACAAACAAATATAACAATATTGTGAAGTAACATGCGTACATTCTGCAAAATTCACATCGGTAACAACTAACAACAGAGCCATACTTCTGAGACTTCCTTTTTCTATATCTTTAAACAACTTTGTAAACGCCATAGGATCAACAATGGACCCCACATGATTGCATATACCTTTGGTATGCATTCATAACCTCCACCAGTAACATTTAACAAAGCCAAAGACAAAACTCTTTCAGGCACCATGGAAGCAAGCTTACAAGCAATCATACCACCTGCATTATTTAAACAAATTAAATAAAGAACTACAGCTATTGAGTCATTCAAAGTGAATAATGAGCTTTCGAATTTTGTAATTTTGCTGAAACATTTGAGATTATGATTATTGAAATGAAAATTACAACAAGCTTAAACCATTGGACCGAGTCCTAGCGATCAATCATCTCCTAGAATAAAATTTCTTAAATTCAATATCAGAAAATAGAATAAGACTCTTTAAGTGGTTGATTAGAGTCAATAATCCAAATTAAAATTCAAAGTCAATCTACTCACCCATTGAATGGCCAAATACATGAGCTTTTTCCCACCCCAAATGATCCATTACAGCTATTGCATCTTTTGCCATAATTTTAGTCCTGCAAAAGATACAACATTCAATACCCATTAACTAAACTAGCTAAAGTTTCCAAACCCAAAATCTTCATTTCAAGAATCTCTGATTTGTCAAACACCAATTTTGAACCCAAAATTAGAGTGGGATTTTTCCTATTTATGTCCCACACAAAATAAACTTATCTTAAAGTGTCGTATGGACTAAACTCAACCTTTTCAAATAAAATACACACAAGAGAAAGTTTCAGCATTGAAATTGTCAAATGTTCTTTTCCACTAATACTCACGTATACTCGGATTTTTTGGTGGGAACGGAGCTCCGACCCATTCCACGATTATCAAAGGCGCAAACCTCCACGCCGGCCACCCCACCACCGTTCAGATCCCCGGCGTCCGGCGACCTATCGTCGTTCGGGTTCACACTCCCGATCAAGCCCTTTATCTGCGGGCTCCACGAATCATGGGTCCCAGCCAAACCTGAAGAATTTCACCACACCATTTTTTAATCCAAAAGTCATTTCAGAAGAATTGCAGAACACAACGGTGAAAGGCCCATTTGGGTTTCAATTGGAAAAGGCACGAAATGCCCCACAACACAGCACAACACTCGAATAAAAAACACATCTTGAAAAGGCAGAACAGATCAATTTTCTGCTGAAACGAGAAAAGAGGGGAATCAAATGGATCACCGATGATCATGAGAACTTTGACGGGTCCTTGGCCGTAGGTCCGGTAGAAAATCTTGATCCCGCGGCTGCTATTCGGCGCGCGCCCATCGTCGCTGACGCGCGCGCCCACGTTGCAAAACGGCATTTTTGAGCTGCTCGCGTGCGGAGAGAGAGCAGATGGTAGTTGACTGGTTGTATTCAAATGAACATAAAGAAAATCAAAGATTCGAGAATGCAAAGAAGAAGATCATATGGCCATATGGGAGAAATGCTCGTGCGTTATATACCACAAGCCTGCAAAAAAGTGCTGTAATTTTCAGTATATTTTTTATTTTTCAATTATCCAGTTTTGAGTTTTTTATTGTATTTCGTCTAATTGAAAAATATAGTTAGATTGATAATAATTTGGGCGTAGTAGTGAATTTCAAGCTTAGACCTAGTAAAAATATAGTTGATAGATTGTAAGTTATGTGATAGTGAATTTTGAGCTTAGAACTAATAAAGTATGATTGAAAAGTTAACTTTTGGTAATATTATATTATAAATCAGCTTAAATAAAAATTAATCTCTCAAAAATTGTGTCCTAATGAATATTTTGAGTTAAAAAGCAGATTTCAAAGAATTATATTTATTGTCATTGAATTGGTGCAACGATGTAAAATTCCACTCAGTTCGTTAACTATTAATGAGTCAATAATAGAGTTCAAATATGCCTTATTATAATATATCAAATTTCAGCTTTAATATGTCAAACTATATTCGAACTTTATCGAGCCAAATTGAACCAAGCTCGTTAATCAAATGAATTTTAAACAATTTGACTCATTAATCAAATAAATTTTAAACAAGTTCAAACTGAACTGAACTGATCAAACTCACAAACGACTCATTCCGTTAACAATTCACATGCCATTTTACATGAATTAGGTCCCCCTTTTTTTTTTTTCCTTTTCTTTTTTATCTATATCGTTCGATTAGGAGGCTTAATGTATGTTTCGTTTTATTCGTTTAACTGATTGATTGAATTGAGCCCTGATATTGTATCACACTTTTCGTTTTAGTTAGGTGATCGGTGAGAGGTGTTGAGTACGTGGGACATAGATATTGTATGCCGGCTTGAGGACGCTCAATAGTCGGCCTTGGGAAGCTAGAACCAAGTCAAAAGTCGGTAATAAGCTTTCCGATTTATTTCAAATAAATATAAGGTGACCATAAAATAATATCCTCCTGCCACAAGTACAAATTTGCAAATTAATTAATGTTAGAAAATGCGTGAAAAATTATAATTTTTTTTCAATAAATATGTATGGTTTTTATAGTAAAGGAACATAATTCAGAAAAGTATAACAGGTGGACATAACTAACCATTACTACAATTTGTGTTTGCTGAAAGACCATTTGCACAATGATAATTTCTCAAAAACTACAGCTATATAAAGAATGATAACTAAAATATATAGAGAGCCAAAATGAGCACAAGAGTAAAATTTTTACATCCAGCATAGAACTGTCATACATAGCTCAATACATATCAAGTTCACAACACATGTGGCTAGTTATCCAATATTCTTGTACATTCTAACTCATGACCAAATCGCAAACGACAAGGTACAGACAGGAATACAAGTACCTTAACCGGCGTGCCTAAATGATGAAGCAACACAACAATCCCGAAGGAGAACCACTTAGGATCATTTACGCGTACAACTCCGTAACACCTAAGGGCCATCTTCCTCAGCTGAAATTTTGTAAAATTAATTGAAAAATAAAATTAAATTCGAGTAGTCTAGCATGTCAAGGAAAATGGATGCAAGATATTTGTAACTTATTCCTCTCTGTTTTTTTTCTTCTTCGTGTTCAGAGAGAGAGAGAGGGAGAGAGAGAGAGGGAGAGAGAGAGGGGGAGAGAGGGAGAGAGAGAGAGAGAGAGAGAGAGAGAGAGGGAGAGAGAGAGAGAGAGAGAGAGAGGTCTTACTGCTTAAAATAAACCCTTGAAGCAAACTTTGAGCTCTCTCGGCCTGCTCTGGAGTACCTGATATTTGAATGATCTTCTCTGTTGTCTCTGGCCTGTCATCGATAAGTTTGACGTTTGCTCCCGAAAGCTGTTAGCATAAATCACAATTAGTTTTTGCGTACTCAAATATGAAAAAAATTGTCGATTTAGAAGCTCTGGGGCACCCCACCTCACTTATCAAAGCTAGCTTTCTTGATTTCTTAGCGAGTTCAGATGCAGCGTGAGGCGGTATAACAACTTCCAGTGTACTTCTGGTGACAAGTGGTACGGATATTCTGGATGGAAATATTGAATAAGTAAAAACGAGGAGAGAGAATGATGAGTAATCTCTATGAGCAATGATGGCTTCCAATGGGAGAGAGGATAAGGAAAAGAAGTAAAACTTGAAAAATAAAGAATTAAAGACTACAAACTAGGATTCATTTATACACCTACCTATTCAATCCGCTGGGGAGTTCTTCGCGTCGTTCACTCTCGTTTTGCTTTGTCTCTACATTAGTTGGCCCCACGTCCTGCAAATTAAGTAAAATCGTTGAAAAAATGAAAAAAAAAAATTAATTAAGTAAAATCGTTGAAAAATGAAAAAAAAAAAATTAATGGGGCAGAAGTTTTTACAAGTTGGAAACACTCGTAATTAATAATTCAAGTTCAAACTGATAACGAAAATATCGCAAACATAACAGATAGCAGCGTCAAAGAAATGTAGAGATCTAAACCCTGAAATCAGGGTCTAGAATATTTAATGATGGAGCAAAAATAATTAATAACTCGGGTTGGTTGAAAAAACAAACTTGATAGGTTTGGTCTTATAATTGCTGCATAAGTTCTTACCAAAAGTGGATGGTTTACGACTTCGAAATATTGCCGGACTTTCTGTAGTTGAGTTAAATATTAAGGGTGTTTGTTTATAAATTTATCCAATTCATACTCAAAAATCTAAATTTACTTTAACTTAATTCCACTATATTCAATATGATCAATATAGTTAAATAATATCAACCAATCATTCTTACACATAACATGAACTTTAATTTACTCTTCATCCACTCACATAATTTTAACTAACCATCACTTCACATCATCTCTCTCCTACTTTTACATCAAATCAACTTTAATTATTTTGTTCAAATATTATTTTAATATAATCTCAAAATCCCACTAACAACTAACCATACTAACTTTTTTCAAAATTAACTCTGGTTAACAAAAAAAAACTCAATTTGAGCGGATACATTTGTATACAAGCATGCCTTAAGGGTAGTATTTGTAAATCTAATCCTTAATGACTTTTAACCAACAAAACAATGCGTGTTGGGGATTCACGAGGAGAAAAGCCAGCTACCTTTGCTTTTGGAGGGGCTACAGCAGCTGATGAACTCTTAGAAGTTGAAATGGGACCATTTCCAGCCGGGATTTCTGAAGATGGAAGTGCATTGTTTCTAGAAACATCCTCCGGTTCAACAAGACCAGCAACATCCTTCTCGAGGAACTCCCGGTATATGTAACTCCGAACCCTTGATGTCACCTCCACCAGAGCATCTCGGGCAGCCTTGATCTCCCCAAATATCTATATGTAAGAAAAAATTTGACGATTCAAACCCAAAGTAGTGTAAGTGACACAACAAATAATAGAATTCTTGGTAAGAATATATCAAGAAACAGGCACTAGAAATTAAGAACTATCGACTCTAAACGAGGTTAAATAAATACAAAAACTGGTGAAATTACAATGACGACCATTATGCACTCTCCAGTAAACTTTTCTTTAGTTTTTTCTTTTTGTACCAATCTGAAAACAATATCACAGGGAAAAAGGAAATTTGAGAGAATAATTGGTAATAAATAGGGTTCCTTCTCCTCTGACCCACTTAACAAAGACTGCTAAGAAATCGCAGAGGCAAAAATATGATTTAAGCAAATGGAAATCTTCAAAGCATCAAAAGTCAGAGAAAACAAACCTGCACAATCTCATGTACCCCTGAAAAACCTTCAGGAAGCTCTTCTCTAGGTAAGATCTTTACTTTTGCACCGCCAATTTTCTCCAGCTCAAGCAAAGAACCAATTTCATCCGATTGCAAAAGTAACCGGGTGGTAATAATATTTTCTTTTTCTGGGACAAGATCAACAATGCGGGTTTGTATATGCAACAAAGCTTCTTGCGCAGGAAACAACTCATCTTCTGGACCCTAATAGACATAATACAAGTTAAATCAGCTTACAATACCTTCTCAAAAACAAATGAGTTAATAAAAATGATAATCCAAAAATTAGACAGCTCCATGCAATAATATATTTGATTCACAATCCCTTAGTCAGACAGCTTACCTCGTCAGATGATATAACTATCACAAGCTCCTCTGAGCCATCAACTAGATCCGAAACCTCAACATTCACGCCTATTTCATTTTGAAGCAAATCAACAATCCCATCCGACTCGCCAATAACGCTATCAAGCTTGTCAACAGGACAAAGTATGCGAAAGACGAGATTATCGCCAGAGAAGCCCTGAGCATTGTCTGCTAGTGTAGTGGGTTCAGATTCACTGGTGAATCCAGATGAACGTGAAGAATAATTGTTGTTCCTTGAAGAATCAGAGTATCTCGACCCAAAACTTGGACCTTCAAGAGACGAACGCCTTGTTTTGTTGTGTGCATGGAAATCATCATCGGCAGGGTAGAAATCATCGGGTGGATGAAGTCGATTAGTAAATTGGCCTCTATCTCGATGCTGGCTCTCCCTCAAGCGTGACGAAATTATTGCTATAGCATTCTTCACAGCATTAACATCACCAACTACCTGCAATAAAGAATAAAATTCCATTGAACTATACACAAAAAAATAAATAAATAAATAAATAAATAAAATAACCCCCACCCTCCACAGGTGAAATAATACTCATGTGAAGAGTGCACGACATCATCAAAGAATCAGGTACATCATCTCCCTGAGCTGGAAGTTCATTAATTCTCTAAGGAAAAAAATATATATATATATATATATCTAGAACTTTGAACAACCTTTCTTTCAGTTTCAAACCTTTCCTTCACATATACACCACATCCATAAAGGAAACCAACTAAAGACATCACTTTAATAGTTGACATCACATCTGATGAACTTAAATGAGTAATGAAAGGAAGCAAACCATGCAAATTTCGCAAAGCAAATATACAATGATAAGTGAACATATGCACCAAAGACAGCTTGCAATACAAGAAGCTGGAAAGCTTATGCACTTCAGCCGAAAATTAATCGGACTTAGATTACACCACACGAACAATTATTTAGTTTTTTAATTACTTTTGCAGCATATGTCATCAAATCCAGTTAATGCTATCAGATAACCAGCATAACTTCACTCTATACTTTGTGTCCCTGCGAGTCGAGCCCTAGAACATATGAAATATATCCCATTATCATAAACTTCTAAAATCTACTACATGAGAGTAATGGTCCTCTTATTTCAGAACCCAATTGAGCTAAAGCAAACTCTCCAACATAGTCAAATAAGTTCAGGGTTCATAAATTCCACTGAGCTTAAAACCTCCATTTTCGAAAGCTCCAAAGAAGAAGGTACATTTATTAACACAACCTGAACAATCTCCTCCGACATCGCCACACAACGCGGCAAATTATGGTCTCTGGGCAAAATCCTGATATGGGTTCTCGTCTCAATCCTCATCTGCTCGATTATTTTCCCTCCTTTCCCCATCAAACACCCAACGTGCATCCTCGAGACCACCAACCTCGTCACCACCCGACCGCCATTATTACCACCACCACTTCCCCTGCCTCCATACTCGCCATGTTCTTCCATCTCGCTCTCCATAATCCTCTCGTGTATCAACATAAGGGCCTCCTGTGCAGGCGAGAAGGAAGGCATTCGACCCTCCGGGTCCCGCCGCCGGGCATCGGAAATCTCGATAATCCTCTCCTCATCCCCCGGAATCAGCTCGTGGACGTTGATGAAAGCTCCGGTGTGCTGCCTGATTGCCTTGATTATGCTGCCGGATTTCCCAATCACCCCGCCGGCCTTCACGTCGTGGCACAGAATCCGGTAGCTAGTAGTCACCATCATAGATGGATCCTGCATTTTCCTCCCTCCGCCGCCGCCGCCGCCGCCGCCGGAGGAGGAGGAGGAGGAGCGCCGGTGGTGGTAGTTCGGAGAATAATGGTGACTCCCTCCTCCTCCTCCGCCTCCGCCGCCGCCGCCGCCGTACCGCGGCTTGCTCCGCGAGTGTAGGGATTCGGATTCATAGTCCTGTTCGTAATAGTATCGTTTAGATCTCGATCTGTCCATGTCCCGGTTTTCACCTTCACATACCGGTAGATCGTATCCAAATCAAAGTCCCAATAATGCAATTCAAAGCCAGCAAGCAAAGGGAAATTAGGGTTTCAGAAATTTTTAACTCCCACTTTTTTTCACTAGAAGCTGCGGGTGGTGGTGAATTCGCCATTGTTGTTGAGGTCTGAGCTAGGAGTAGCAAAACCCATGATTGGGAACAGTTATGATTTGCAGAATTTGAATTTCACTGAACTAAATTTTCGCCTTTTTATCCGCAAAAAAGAAAATAAAGTAACTGAATTTATTGTTAGGTGGGTGGCGTGGGTGTAGTGTAGTGTGGCAATTTGCTGTACAAATATTTTTCTTGCATAAGAACATACGTGTCGTCGAGGTCTTGCCTGATGTCAGTATGTTACTCGATGATATATGTTGTGATTGTTGTACTTTCAGCTTTCAATTAGATTTTATAATTTAAAATGTGAAAATGTATTAAATATTTTTAAAGAAATATTTAGAAATTATTTGGAGAAAAATAAAATAAAAAATTAAATGTTATGAGTTTTTCTTTTGTCGAAAAGATAAAAATTTTATAGCAAAATAACACATAATTACAACTAAAAAACAGTCCAACGGACGACTAAGACAGCTCTTGAACCAAATAGGAATTTTATAGCAAAAACAGCATAGAATTACAACTATAAAACAGCCCAACGGATGAATAAGACATCTATTGAGCCGAATCTAGTAGGAGGACAGATATACAGATCGCCTAGAGCTAATCTATAACACAACTCACCAATAAGCGAGATACAAAACTAAACTAAGAAACTCCACAACTGAAAAATAAAAACTCCCCTACGGGAGATTACACACTCCCCTATGAGATAATAGCACAAACACAAAAAAACAAACGAGAAACACACAGCAACACCAAACCAAACACACGAGACACTTACAAACATCAAACACAACCTAAATAGAATAAATTAAAAGCCCTTCACACAGTCAGAAAAAACACGCCATGCAACCATGACAACGACACCTATGGGCTATCACCCATACAGACTGAAACTCGCCCCAAGCCTCATAACCAAAAACTTCAACTCTCGTATAACTAGAACCAAACCCTAGTGCTCGACCTCGCGTCTAGGCGACCGACCCCACACTCAGCCGGAGGAAACCGAGCACCCCCCACCACACCACCACCGCCCCGAGTCCAACCCACACTCTGACCTGGGCTCGTCACGTCGACCGTCCCATTGGCCCACGCACTGGGGGAAAAGGGGACAAGGGGGAGAGTCCACTCTCCTCCACCCCAACCACCACAACAGGCCGTCAGAGCCACAACCTAGCCCCTCAGAAGCACTGGCGCCTGCCACAGCCTCGCCACCTAGAAGATCGACGACCACCGGCCTGAAAAAGTAAACATAAAAAGTAGTGAGAAACTCTCGGAGCCCACTGTCCACCCTAATGGCTAGAGAGACCAAGCATTGGCACCAAAGGGATTAAGTTGCACAGCTAGGGGTCGGCCGCGTCAAAGAGCCCAGCGGCCGCTAGAGAAGGTGGAACGGCGCGCAGAACCTAGGAAAAAAGGGGGAATTGTGGAAAGGAGGAGAGAGACTTTTTTGTAATGGGGGTTTGTCGTTATGAGTTGTTAGATGGAAATATATTTTATTAGAATTGACTTGGTTTAGAAATAATGAAATAATATATTTGAAACATAGGTAGGGGAGAAAAACAGAGTATGCAAGGTGTGTTGGAACACATAAATAAAAAGCGGAAGCAAATACACTTAAAATATCTTCGAGAAGTGTCTCACTACTCCTCATAACTCTTTCATTAATAGATCAGTTTGTGCGCACAAAAATACAGTTTGGACTTATGGGACTTGGACTCCTTCCTAGTCTAGCCAATACTATATCAGATCATTATAACTACTTTTCCAGCCACCGAACATGGACTTCACAAATAACTAATAATCACTCCTAGCTACTAAAGCACTTAATCCCTAAACATTAAAAGTGTTTGTAAAATAAATTATGCAAAAGAACATACATATCGTCGAGGTCTCGCCTTATGTCACGCAATGATATATGTTGTGATTGTTGTACTTTGAGCTTTTAGTTAAGTAGAATTTATAATTAAAATGTGAAAAATGTGTTAAATATTTTTAAAGAAATATTTAGAAATTATTTGGAGAAAAATAAAATAAAAAAATGAATGTTATGATTTTTTTTCTCAGAACGATAAAAATTTTATAGCAAAAACAACACATAATTACAACTAGAAAACAACTCGACGGTTGAATAAGGCAAATCATGAGCCGAATATGGCCAATGAGATTTCGCTGTCCCGGCCACAACAGTGGCGGTTGAACAAGTGTTTAGCGAGGGGAGATATACACTAGACGCACGATGCTCGAGGTTGACGCCAACACTTGGAGAATCATATGTTGCTTGGTGATTGGATGAAGACCGACCAAAGGATGCAAACGACCATGCTAACTACCAGAGAGGATATAAAAGATGATTGTTTTGATTTCGCTAGTGTTACCGGAACTGAAGACGACTACAAGGCCTACGACTATGACTAAGATAACTAGAGTGTCGATCGGTTCAACAACACATCCTGCCAGGTAAGTAAAAAAAAAAAAGAGAACTACGAGGACTGTGATTCCCAAGATAAGGGATACGTAGACAACTTAATTGACATATTGTAAAATATTATCTTTTTGTTGATACCTAATTTTGGCCTCGCCTATTAAAATATTACACGTGGATATATATTAAATTAATTATTTTATTTTATGGTCTAAAAATAATACCGCTTGTAATAATAACGGGCCCATTAAACATTTATATATATATCCCGATGATGGACCTGGATAGATAAGTGTGAGGGGCACTATTATTATTTTTCTCNAATTATTCAAGTTGAGGAGTTCACTGAAGGAAAAAGGAAAATTGGAGCTTGTTTGTGTTCACAAATTGAAGAAATTACTCTTCTCTAGCTTCAGTTAGTTGATTAAAAATGGGTGCGACCAAAGTTTTTCTTTTTCATCTCATATCTATGTCTGGCTGATAAGCGCACGACCAGCTTAGAGGGTTGGATTGCTCAAACCAGTTATCGATGGAGAGTGGCGATTTCGATGGCTCTTATTTCGGCGTTCACCAACGGTGGAGGGCTTGAATAATTTTGGAAAAGTTTTTTTAAAGTAGTTTTTTTTACAGTTGATTGATGTTTATCTACTATTTTGATTATGGTTATTGATTCAGTTTTTTTTTTTAGTTTATTTTGCATTTTTCTTTTATCTATTTAGTCTTTTAGATTTAGTAAAAAATTAGATAATAAATTTAAGTTAACCAAAATACTACCTCCTATTCTTTTTAAACTAGTACGTAACCCGTGCGATGCACGGGATGTAACATTTGAAAGAATAATATAATCTCACGTGCATTAGGATCGAAATTGAAATCATTAAAATACATAGGAACATTGTTGAATCATAAAAAGTTCGGTAACAATCATATATTATTAAAAACCTCCTTGTACACAATATTATGAGTTTGATTATTTGGTAACTCCTCATTATCACAAACTAATATTTTCAAAAGAGACAAATCCTAAAAATCAAACTAATATTTTTGGTGAAAAAACCAATATTTTAGGATTGGTGAACAAACTAATATTTTAGGATTGATTATATGAATAAAGCTACCTGTTTTTGGTGTTCTTTTCATTCATTTTCATTCAAACAATCCCATGACTTGTATAATGAAATCCGAATCTTAAGCCAAAATATTTAAAAAAAAAAAGAGTTTTTAAAAATTGAAAAGTCAAGGCAATCAGTTCAGATTAATTAAAGGTCAAAGAATATCCGCTCATTGAAATAAAGACGTGTGCTATCATTAACCAAATATTCGGTTATTGATATAGAGTGGTTACCAAAAAATAGAACGCGACGCTTCATGGAAATATCAATGGGATAAAGTCATAACAGATCGCTATACATTTTAACGATTAAAGCTCAGATAGAATGATTTATGATAATTATGTCGTAATTAATGAATTAATTAGATGTGTGAAAATGACAAAATTAATGAGAAGTGTGGAAATGACATAATTAATGACAAGTGTGAAAATGACATAATTAATGACAAGTGTGAAAAAGACATAATTAATGAGAAATGTAAAAAAGACAAAAACTTACCAGTTTTGGAAAATATTAATGCAAATTCGACATTGACCATAATTTGACCTACTATTTTGGATAAATGTTAATTCTTATTATATAAGTATAGATGTCATTTTGGCTTTATCAATTATTAACCAAAATAAATGTCGTTTTGAATCTTTTGTACATCTTTTTCCATTATTATCCTCATTTAATTAATAAATACACTACGTCTTTTCATATTTTTTTCATTTTTTTTAACACATTCATCTCTATCTTCATTAATGAAGGTTATTATTGGCAAAAAAATTATTTTTAATTAATATACAACTTCTCAAAACGACACTTATTATGAATAGGATGGAGTATCAAATTAATTTTTAACAAAGTACAGAGATAAGTGTAATAAACTTAAAAAGTGAAACGTCTAAATAAATTCATAGATGTAAACTTAAAATAAACTGATACGTCTGAAAAAGTTTATAAATGAAAATAAGAATAGATTTGAAATTAGAAAAGACATTTGGGTATATAATAGGAATTGTTTCACATTAAAATATTGGGAAATTTACACGTTTCCTACATCAATAATTGAATTCATAAATAATTGCATACATACGATTGGGTAGAAAATATTAGCACATGAACGAATTCAGTGTAGATTAATTGTGATTATGCGATATTTTATGTTACCAAAATAAAACCGTTTCTTTTCCTTCTTTTGCGTAACCCATGACCAAGAGATATCTTATAAATCCCGTAACTGACGAGATTCAATACAACAACACCCAAACCTCTGCTCATCCATGGCGAAAAATCCGATTTGTTTTCTCACTCCATGGCAAAAATCCGATTCGTTTTCTCGATGAGGTGTTGGTTCTCGACATGGGCTTCGTTGGAGGCGAGGATGGTGACGAAGCCACAGAGGATTGTGATCTTGATTGGTTGCAGGATTTGTGGATCTGCCTCCACGGGGAAAGGCCGAGGCGGGGGCGGCGCCGTTCATGGCAGAGACGGTAGTCGGAAGCGCGCTCGATGTTCGCTTCTGAGCTGAAGAGGTCCCATTAGAACCCATCGGTGGAAAACAAGAAAGTCCAAAAGAAATTTGGGTGTCTGCGTGCGAGTCACAATATGCTTTTTGGTACATATATTGTATACATGTTGTATATAAAATGTTTATAGAGTATGTTTGTGTTAGTTTTTGGTATATGTATTGTATATTTTTTGTATATATACTGTTTATTGATTGTGATGGTTTTAAAAAACTTTATGGAGTATGTCTGTGGTACATATTCTGTATATATACTGTATATATTTAGTTCTCTCCTGTCCAAGGACTGAATCAATCTCATCATGTGCTTTCTTCGTATTGAAATGATGTTGTAGTCGGACGGAAACATATACTGAAAATATACTATATATAACCCCAACATATACAGAATAGTTGAAAGGATGCTATATTACTCGAACGGAAACATATATAGAAAATATATTGTATATACCCGCAACATATACAGAATAATGCGTAGAATTATACAGAAGAAGCAGGGGTAGAATTATTGAATTATACATTACTCAAGTCTGCGGAGGTGATGAACAAAAAAATATATTAGTCAACAAATACACATAATTGATGTGATTATACATAAGATTTGATATGAACAAAAATTATACAGATTATCTTTTATATAATAATTTGATAAGATTATTCTGTATAAGAACATAAACACTATGAACATAAAATTAAAAAAAAAATGATATGAATAATCTTAAGTATAATAGAAAATAATGTAGAAAAATAATCTTATGTTCTTATATTTCCACTCCTAATCAAATCAATTATACAGTATAATCTTATGTTCATATCAAATTATTCGTCCACAATAAAATATGCTAATACACTAAAAATAAACAATACATAAACGTAAAAATAAACATTGAAACAATCCGATCGAAACTTCAAATGTTTCTGTTCACCATTGAGTATCTCCCTAATACACTAAAAATAAACAATACATAAACGTAAAAATAAACATTGAAACAATCCGATCGAAACTTCAAATGTCGCCGCTGCTCACAAGCAGGGTTGCAGTCGTGTACTGAGACTCCGCCTTCTCGAGATGAGCCCACGGCGCGCAGCCGCTCGTCTCCGAGTCAAGCGAACCATTGCCGGTTGAAAGCAGGGACGCCCTTCGTCTCGTCAAGCGAACCACGATCGGTAAAAAATTGTGCGACGGGGAAGGCGATGGAGTCCACCATCAGGTATCTCCCTAATCGTCGGAAGTCGTCGGTCATCCACCATCATTGCGCTCGAGATGCATGCGGTGATGAAGACTTGGCGAAGCCGCGGATTGCACCATCAGAACCAGACCGATTGAAAAAAAATTAGAAAAGAAAACTCAATTGTAGGGGAAAAAGAGAGAATTATGCGTAGAATTACAGGAGAAGAAGAAGAAGAAGAAGAAGAAGAAGAAGAAGAGAGGGAGATTGCGTGAGAGGAGAAATAAATCTTGTAACTAATCTCGAGAATCAGTTTTGGAATGTGATAAGTCACCTTCAATTACGCTGACTTAATATTGTTGTTTTAAATTAATTAGTCTTTACATATCTGGTAATTTTGCAGTTATAAAAGTGAGATATTGTATATTTGCTAATATTTGCAATGAGGTTTCATTTTTGTAATTAAAAATAATATGTACCGTATGGTGTGCAATTTCCTCTAAAATATTTTGGGAGAAGTTTTTGGCAATTTATTAAATGCGTCATTAGCCCATTTCAAAGCATCCTCAACGTCTTTGTGGGCTCAACTCACACAAATTCAATATAAGGCCCTAGAAAAAATTTATATTCAATATATTTTGTATTGTTTTTAATTACATATATCTTCATGATTCTTTGATTTATATTTTATTTTAGTTTTCAAAGTACAAAATAGTCATATTCCTCCATTCTATATGAATCTTGAAATATTTTCAATTCGGGAAATAAAAACATTAAGTTTTATTTTTTTTGCAATTGATTTATTTACTCTCGTGGTCTCTATATTAACTACATCATTTTCAAAATATTTTGATAATTAGTTGCATGAAAAAATAAGTAAAGACTCTCTATAATACAAAATTACCAATGGAGCAAATGAAGCCGATGTAGTAAAATTATCAATGAGTAAAACATCAACAATATATTTCCACTCAATTGAAATTGGGTGCGTGAAATTAGTCCAAGTCCCCATATAAAATACATCAATTATATATTAGAAAAATATATTACTCGTTAAGTAAGTATTCCTATAGGAAAAAATAATATAATTAATGTATCTTTATCTAATAGTACTTGTTATAATTTTTCATAAATACATGGTTTTTATAATAATTTTTCTCTTTATTTTTGCGTACTTTAATTATTTTTTCAACCTCTTATATTTTATTTTTTTGCTACATTAGTGGAAAAAAAATTATACTATGGAATTTAAAGGTAATTCCATAGTATAAAACGACACTCATTTATAAAACGACACGATTCAATTAAGAAGTTGCACAGTAATTAAGGATATTTTCTTTGTCAATAATAATCGTCTTTAATAAAGATAGAGAATGATGTTTTGAGAAAAAATAAAGAGTTAATATGAAAAGACGTTGTGTATTTATTAGCTAAATGAGAGTAATAATGGAAAAATATGTACAAAAGATTCAAAACGATATTTATTTGAATAATAGTTAATAAAATCAAAATAACATTTAAAAAGAAACGATATTTATTTGAATAATAGTTAATAAAATTAAAATAACATTTAAAAAGAATAAGAGATAGTATAATTTAATGAAATTGTTAATAATTAGAAAAACGTATAACAATTCTATTTTTAAGCTTCCAATAAGAGCACGAACTTTCGAGAGAGAAGAAGCAAAATTGTGGTGTACCTAGAAAACGCAAGCTCCACCGATCAACGGCCCAGATCTCCCCAGGTGCCGAAACGATCTCATTGGTCCGGACGTTTCTTCTCGACCTCTGATTGGTCCACGTCACGCAAGGTGACATGATCATCCCCTGCTTCCGGTTCACGCCAGCACCACGGACCCAAAACCGTCGGGTTCAAACTCGAGTTGGACCGTAATGTGCAGGGCATCATCATACTCGCAATTTGATTGGTCCACGTCATCACAAATGACGGGTTGCACGCCATATGCTGGTTTATATATATGATTGGCTCCACTCGCCATCTTCACCTTCAGATTCAGAACTGCAACATAAAAAGCCGAGAGAACAAATCACAGGAGGAAAAAAGGGAATTCATACTGTTATTGATTATTCAAGCTTCGCAACAATGGCTGGCGCGTGGAATCGACGCCCATCCTCTATCGTATTCGGGATTTTGCTTATCGGTGAGCGTCTTGTAAAACTTCTCATTAGTTTTCCTTTTTTTTTTTAGCTGGAATATTCGTGTTTGTTTACCTGTTTACATGATATTTCTGTTTTTTTTTATTGATGTTTTTCTATTTGTGTGCTGATTGAGCTTCGTTTTTGTCATTGAGAAATGAGAACGAACGATCTGTTTAGGAAGAATGTTATAGCTGAAATTTTAGCAAGTGTAGTTTATGTGTATGATGCGGAAAAGAAATGCGGAAAAAATTTGTTATGTTTATGAACCAACTTATCATTTTTTCATGGAGGACTGTAGATCGTGATTCCTGATGTGCTTGTCTTCAGATCTGTTTATTTTTCTAGAAATCGGAATGGGAACCCATAATTTTATTTTAATGTACAAACATAATAGCTCACTTGTATAATGCTCTTATTATTCTATGTATTGGAAATTTGGAATACAAATCACTAGATTTTGTTTTGAAGCTGTTGTGACAAAATCACATTTGAATATTTGATTTTATTTGTTCTTTTATACCTGAGTTGGAGAGTATACTGTTACTGGATGTAATGACCATTGAGCTGTTTAGTTAGGATGAGGGGAATGCATGTTTCTTATTCCTTTCACCTCTATTGATTAATGTAACTGAGCTCTAGTTGCCCTGCCATTGATGTATATAATGTATTCTTTAATGCTGAATTGTCTTTGACTTGATGGATGTAGTAAGTTCCTAGTTGGTCATGCAGCCTGATATTCATGTTCATTGCAATAAATGTGTTGATGTGATGATTGGATCTTTGTAACAGGAAGCTTGTTTGCGTATACCATTGCTTCAGAGGAGGCTGTCAAGTATGGAACTGTTATTGGCATTGATCTTGGCACGACTTATTCATGTGTTGGTGTGTACAAAAATGGACATGTTGAAATTATAGCAAACGATCAAGGTAACCGTATCACTCCTTCATGGGTTGGTTTCACTGACGGCGAGAGGTTGATTGGTGAAGCTGCGAAGAATCAGGCAGCTGTTAATCCAGAAAGGACAATCTTTGATGTCAAGCGGCTTATTGGTAGAAAGTAATGCTCCGTACCCTTTTGTTTATTTTTTGTTATATGTGAGGTACATCAAATCGTCACTCGGAACTCTTTCTACTGAACAGGTTTGAAGACAAAGAGGTCCAAAAGGACATGAAGCTTGTTCCATACAAGATTGTTAACAAAGATGGTAAGCCTTACATACAAGTGAAGATCAAAGATGGAGAAACCAAGGTTTTCAGTCCCGAAGAGATCAGTGCCATGATTTTGACAAAGATGAAGGAAACAGCTGAGGCTTATCTTGGAAAGAAAATTAAGGACGCTGTTGTCACTGTCCCTGGTAAAGTCTTGCCTTCAATTGTTTGTTTTAAACTTTAATACAGGATGTGTAATACTGTTGCTAAAGCTGTTTCCACATCTCATTTTTTTGCAGCGTACTTCAATGATGCCCAAAGACAGGCCACTAAAGATGCCGGTGTGATTGCTGGCTTGAATGTTGTGAGAATTATTAATGAGCCAACTGCTGCAGCAATTGCATACGGTTTGGACAAGAAAGGTGGTGAAAAGAATATTCTCGTCTTTGACCTTGGTGGTGGAACATTCGATGTCAGTATCTTGACGATTGACAATGGTGTATTTGAGGTTCTCTCTACAAATGGAGACACTCACTTGGGAGGTAACCAGTACTGGTTTTTTTTTCTTTTCTTCATCCATTTTCAAATTTTAGTTGCAAGCTTTTCTAGTTTTTTTATTAGTGTTGCCTCTGAAAGCAATTGAGATATTACCTAACTGATTCCATATGTGGAAGATGAATGATTCATTTCAGTACATTATTTCCGATTATCTCAAAATATATATTTTAATCTTGCAGGAGAGGATTTTGACCAAAGGATCATGGAATACTTCATTAAGCTCATCAAGAAGAAGCACGGAAAGGACATCAGCAAGGACAACAGGGCACTCGGCAAGTTGAGAAGAGAAGCTGAGCGTGCTAAGAGAGCTTTGAGCAGTCAGCACCAAGTCCGTGTGGAAATCGAGTCCCTCTTTGACGGCACGGATTTCTCTGAGCCGCTTACCAGGGCCCGCTTTGAGGAACTGAACAATGACTTGTTCAGAAAGACCATGGGCCCCGTCAAGAAGGCTATGGAAGATGCTGGCCTGGAAAAGCGCCAAATTGACGAAATTGTCCTTGTGGGTGGGAGCACCAGGATTCCAAAGATTCAGCAGCTTCTCAAGGATTATTTTGATGGGAAGGAGCCAAACAAGGGTGTTAACCCAGATGAGGCTGTTGCTTATGGTGCTGCTGTCCAAGGAGGAATCTTGAGCGGAGAGGGTGGTGATGAGACCAAAGGTAATAATGCACTTTTCATCTACCAATTTGGATTTGGAGTGTTTATGAGCACTTGAGAGAAAATAAGAGTGAATTTAAGGTTTTAGCTTTAATTAGTATCTCAAAATGCCTGCATTTGCACTGCTTCTCCTTTTATCAAAGTTGAAGGGAATGGGTAAGGTGTGCTTTTGGATAATGGTTTTGATAATAGTTAGGAGTATATTTACAAACACTGAAAAGAAGAGTGATTCTAATGCTGAGTATCCTACAAATGCCTGCATTTGAATCTGCTGTTGCTGCTTCATTTTATTTGACATTGAAAAAGCTTGATCATTGTGATATTTTGACTCTCTTGATTTTGCTTTTCGTTGTATTTTGAACAATTGTCAATCATTTTCTCATCTTCTTCACCAAACCCTCTTTTTTTATAACTGGATTGTCAAATCTGATTCTGAAATGATTGTCACTAACTCTCTTGTGATTCATAATTAGACATTCTTCTATTGGATGTGGCTCCTTTGACCCTTGGCATTGAAACTGTTGGAGGAGTGATGACCAAGTTAATCCCGAGAAACACAGTCATCCCAACCAAGAAGTCCCAAGTTTTCACTACTTACCAGGATCAGCAAACTACTGTCACTATTCAGGTATCACACACGTTATTTCTGAAGATAGTATAAAAATCTTACTAATTTTCTTGTTTATGACCAACACTNTTTCGAGGGTGAGAGGAGTCTCACTAAGGACTGTAGGCTGCTCGGGAAATTTGATCTCACGGGAATCGCTCCTGCCCCAAGGTTTGCATTATATTTACTAAAACTAAACTACCCTTGAATTTCCAAATACTCCTTGAGTTTCGAAATTTTAATAATATTCGAAATGTGCCAATAAATACAGGGGTACCCCACAGATTGAGGTGACCTTCGAAGTAGATGCCAACGGCATCCTCAACGTGAAGGCTGAGGACAAAGCCTCTGGCAAAGCGGAGAAAATCACAATCACAAACGACAAGGGCCGCCTAAGCCAGGAAGAAATCGAGCGCATGGTCCGTGAGGCTGAGGAGTTTGCCGAAGAGGACAAGAAGGTGAAGGAGAGGATCGATGCCCGTAATAGCCTCGAGACGTACGTTTACAACATGAAGAACCAAATCAACGACAAGGACAAATTGGCCGACAAGTTGGAGTCGGATGAGAAGGAGAAAATCGAGACCGCCACTAAAGAGGCGCTCGAGTGGCTGGATGATAACCAGAGTGCTGAGAAGGAGGATTATGAGGAGAAGCTAAAGGAAGTTGAGGCTGTGTGCAATCCTATAATCACTGCTGTGTACCAGAGGACTGGGGGAAGTGCGCCAGGTGGCGGCTCGGGAGCTGAGGAAGAGGATGAAGACCATGATGAGCTGTAGAAGAAGGGTGGGGTTTTGTGGTTAGATCTCTTTGATTAGGGTTCGGGTTCACTAAGAGGTGTTCTTGATGATTTTCCTCTTTTTCTTTTGTTTCCTGAGATTTTGATTACAAACTTTACAAGAGGAGCAGTATTTTTTTTTTTTTCTTGGGTNATCCCAATGTGTGATGTACTATTTGGTCTATTGAGGGATTTGTTATGGCTATACTTTGTTTTTTTTTTCTGCAAGTGGGAAAAAGTTCTATCTATCTATCTCCTTTTGGTGATTCTCAAAGCTTTTTATCTGAATATGCTATATTATATTAGTTCGAGTTGGCATAATTTCTTTTCTCTATTATTGTGTATATATATCATTTGATCATCAGTGTCCCTTAATACAGATCATTGATTGTAACTTGAACGTGATTATCATTTTAGTGCTGCTCCCTTCAAATATTCTTTTAGCTGCTCCCTTAAATATGATTTTAGTTTACATACGATGGCATGAATCAAAGTTACCTGTATGAAGGGTAAAATGGATCGGTACATGCATTATTGGCGGCAGGGACTTTCTGATACTAGATAATAATCAGCAAAAGAGAGAAATACGTTTCACTCGAATATCCGGTTTCTGATACTAGGTAATAAATAGCAACAAAGAAAAATATGTTTCACTGGAATGTTTTGATAATATATATGCTGTAGAACTAAAGCTTGTATCAAACTCTCAATCAGATTAAAGCTTGTGTGAGCTTTGTCACTGTACAAATTGATCGAGCATATAGCCAAAATCCTTTAAATTTCTTTTCAGCCAGCCCCTTTTAACAATGAGCGAATTTTTGGCGTCGGGCCGCAAAACAGGGCAGCTATGCCCTTCAAATACAAATTCAAGATGGCAAAATACGGCTAAAACTAAGTAACAAAACCCTCAAAGTAGAAAAGGGACCAATGTACTCCAGATGATCGGTTTTTTGCCATTTGTACAAAGAGTGGGATCATTTAAAAGTATACCAAACATGGAACTTAACAATTCAATTGGCGGTTTTGTCCAGAAGCTCCAGCCCTGGCCAGCTCGACTCACAAAGATCACGAGGAGTGTCTCCCTCATTGTCCTTTATATCCATATCAGCACCGTGTTTTAAAAGTAACTCCGCTATTGTAGTTCTCTCGCATACAGCAGCATAATGCAATGCAGTTTGACCTTCATCATCCTGTAAACTTACATGGATTGTTACATTACATGTTACAAAAACAGTGAACAAAGTTTTTTGTTTAAAGAAATTTCATGGTTTTTTTTTTTGTTCCCTTCTCACTTTTAAGTTATAAGCAGACATCCAGAAGCACCATGACAATCATTTCATCCATATCAAAAATTGAGAATGATACTATAAATATTAAATACAAAATTTGTCTACCTTAGCATTGACATCAGCATTTTTGTCCAGAAGCAGTGCTGTGACATTCAGATGGCCTCGATCAACAGCCCAGTGTAAAGGGGTGCGGCCCTCGCTGTCTGCAATAATTGAAGAAAATTATATCTAGGTAACTAATTGAAAAGGTCTTATGGGATAAACTCAAAGAGAAATAATAAACAGTAGTTTCAATTTTTAAAGTTAAAGTTGTTGTACATCCTTCTCATAGACAGATGGTAAGCATCAAAATTATCAATCAAGAATACTTCATATTATGCAGAAACTGTATCCCTTTAAAACATATAAGATTGACCGACCTTTTATATTTAACGGCACACCACTCTCTATGCAATGGAGCAACTTCTCTTCATCCCCTTCTCGTGCAAAGGCATGCATAGCATCCATTTTCCTGAATAGAGAGCAGATATAAAAACTCAGGCTCTCTACTTCTAAGGTCACAGTGATGAAAGAAAACGAGAGAAGAAAGATAGGAATTCAAATATCAGATATGTAATTTCAGAAAACAAAACTTTGTGCTAATCAGTCCCGAGAGCAAGTACTTTTCCCTCAACTTTGAACTGAACTCTTCACTTTAGCAGGTAAGTATGAGAAGTGTTAAGATTGCAGAACTATTCTAGGAAAAGTTAAGCAAATCAAAGACATAAAGACGGCTATGCTTTCAGAGAAAAAAAAAAAAAATGTCAACTATTGTAAACAACAGAAACACAGGATAAAGAAACAATTTCCTCACAGTAGGCTATAGAATGTTAAATGAGAAGCATATAGGATAATATCAGGATCCTTACAGTTCAGATCCAGATTCCTCCTCATATATGAAGCTACTAAAAACAGGTCCCATCGGCCCCTGGGAGCCTGCATTCTGCGTGTCACATCTCCCTTCATCTTTTTTCTTCTGCTAGAGAACACAAAAAAACAAAAAAGGCCAGCAACAAGCAAGATTAGTGCAAATGAATCTACAATTCGGGCAAATTGAAAAGAAAACAAATTAAATCTCACGGTGGCAGCACCAGCAGCCCAAGTAGGATATAACTCAGTAACAATATCAGTGTATTTCTCCATTGCTTCTTCAGGAGGCATGGCACCCAGTTTCTGCCATGCTTGCCTAGAACACAACACGGCAAATTCTCATTTGGTCAACCAAATAATCTTGTCTCACAAGGCAAACGAAACCAGAATTTCAAGGTTTATCAATATAAGAGGCATCTTTGAACACAATGGTACGTGAATTATGTGAGTAGCCAACAGAACAAAAGAGACAGAGTCACAAACACACAAAAGCTATGCTTCCCAGTCACAAATTTAACCTCAATAATTTCACAACATGACCCAATCATTCCAACTCTATCACAAGCTACAGTTCAGTTAAATTCATCCTGCTGAATAAACTACATTCATAATTACTCAAAAGTACCATTTGGCACGGGCAGTCATTTTCAGAGCTGAAGGCTGGGGAGTCGAACACGGCCCCTCGGTGGCAATCTTATACAATCCATAAAGCTGCAACTGGACATCATTCGACACCTTCACCGCTGCCCGATCAGCAGCCGTGGCCGCAACGAATGCAGTGGCGGCACTGAACAGCTCATCCAGCTCTGTACTCTCAACGCCCTCCCAATCATCGTCACTGTCGCTAAAATCGCCGATCACCTCCCTTTCACCCCCGGATTTCCCGTCTCTGGCGATCAAAGGCTCAGCTTCTCCCTGAGCGCCAGACGAAGAATCCACAGATACCCCATCGGATTTCAGCTCCGGCGAATGCGCCCGCGTGATCCTGAGATTCTCATCACGGAAGGCGAAGATCACGGAGAAGAGCTTCGCGAGCAGGTACGAGAAAACAACGCCGAAAATCACCGATTGCAGAAACTGCTGCCAGTCATCCATGGATGAAAATGAAACGACTGGAGCTAAATAGGACGTAACCAGAAGAAAATCCTAGCAGTTGCGCGGCGAGAGCGAAGGCTTCGATTGATAGAGGGGCTGGAATTGGAAAAGCACGTCGGCACAAACCCTAGAAAAATGATAGTACCGGAGTAGAATATTATCTGACTACATGAAAAGGTAATAAATTCAAAGTTGCGGCGGCAAATGACGGCGGCTGAGGAACTGAAAATAAGGTTCCGATCGGAGAAAACAGCCTTCCGCCGCTGCGAATAATTTAACTGTGTTCAGCTTTGAGAGGGCCGGTATTGTGTGTGGTGAGGCTTCATGCAGTTCTGTACGGTTTGGGTATTTTTGTCTTTTGAGAACTAAAGAATATGGAGTGGACTTTGGGCCTTCCTACAATAGTCTAAAAGACATAACAAAAAAAATTTTATGGAGTCATTGAATGATTTTCTTATGGAACAATCCACCACTTAATGTATTGACACTTGTTTAAATTGTATTTATTGTAGGACATGTGTCAATACATTATGGGTGAATAAGTGTGGATGACTCCATAAATCGAAGCCCAACAAAAAAATGTCCGATGACTCCATAGCAAAACTATCCACGTGGACTCAAAACGATATGAAGCCCAACAAAAAAATTCCCAAATCCACTTTTTGTGCCCATTTAATTACACCCCTAATTTCTCAATGAAGGAAAGAGAGTAACGACGTCGCTTTTTGGACGAGGGTAACGTCATTTTCTGGACAGGTCTAGAAAAAAAAACAATTGGGCCGTGACTCAGTACAATGGGCTGCAACGAAGTTTTTTATATATTCTTCAGTTTCATATAGGCCCAGCTAATGTCAGTTAAAATGTAAAATCACCCTTTTTATTCACGTAATTTGATCTGTGTTTAAAAGCAACTATGGAGGAGGAACGACAACATGCAGAGCGATTTCTCCTGTTTTCAGCCCCTTCCGATTTCAGGGAGTCGTGTTCTTGCCACGAGTGCCTTCCCAAGATAACACATCTCAAGGATTTTGAGGATGAGATTAAGTCCATGAGCAAGCTTGTCACTGTAAGTTAGGGCATGAATTAGCGAGCTTCAATCATTGTTAACTCGTTTCGTTTTGTGTTCCTTTCCCGTTATTTTCGTCTCTGCATTTTTTTATTTTTTTTTTTGGAATAGGATTTTAATGTTAAGCTGGAAGGGGACGTGTCACTCTGTTTAGCCCTATCTTCATCTGCTAAGTGGTCGAAAATTTTGTTTGGTATCCTTTATATTCGCCTCAGAAGACTGCAGTGGGATGGTGGAAAACATCATGTAGTAATCCATGTTATGTTGTTATACTTGCCGTGTTTTCTCATTTTCTTGTTAAAAAATACAATTTTTTTTTTCTTTGGTTGATAATTGTTTCAGGTGAGGGAACTTCCGTCTATCCTTAGGAGAAGCCCTTCAGCTGATAAATTGGGAGATACTGATGTCAAGTTAGCTCAAAAACTGGAAGAATCTAATTTGCTAGATGAAACTGAGGCTGATAAACTTGATAAGACATTTTATCTTGTCCCTGTTTTCGATAAAGTCAACCATATGGTAAGATTACGTAAAATGCACATATACAGTTACTTGGATATGCATTCTTACATTAGTTGGATTAATCCTTATAATAATGTGCTTATGGTTTCAATTAATTTAACATGCACTTGGCTGGATTTTGTGGGCAGTCTTCCCTTTACAAGCGAACTAAAGTGGGGTTCAAGGCAGCTCAGCTTCTGGAACATATTGCTGTGCTTGAATTAAAGCATAGTACCATTAAAGCTGACGAAGCATATGAAGAAGAACCGAGACGTTTGGCGTTGAAGGATTTGACCGAGGAACAAATTAAGGTAAAATAGTCTCTCCCCCTTTCTTGTTTTCCGAGCCTTTGCTTTGTTGAAATGGTGAACTGAAAAGCACGATTAAGAAAACAACCCAATTCTCGTTCTTTTTGTCTTACCTAACAAACTAAGAATCCAAATAGCAACCTACTCTAAGTTTAGAGGGTACAAAATAAAACAAACATATTATTTGGCCGAGCTGCTGTTTCATTTTTTATACGCTAGTTACCATGTATAAAATATCAATATTATTATTATAGACGGTGAAGCGGTTGCCAGTTGAAGGGTTGCTCGAGCAATCTACAGAGCTTATGCATATCTCTCTTCCTGTTCCAGTCACGAGGCAGATTCTGAGGGAAGCCTCGACTTTCATAGATCAAACATGTCATGATATAATTAGAGAAAGGAATGCTTTTTGGCAACAATATCACGAGGTGCGTGTGTATGTGCATAAGAAATTTAAACTAATATCTTGTTGGGAGGCATTTTAATAACTCATAACTTTGATAATTGTTTCTCACTAGTGTCCTTCCTCGGGCGAGATCAAAGGCCACCATTTGAATGGATTGAATCAAACCCTAGATTCACTGCTTGACAAGGTGCGTGAACTTTTAAGATGTTTGATATTTGATAGTTACTGTATTTCTTTATACACACACACACACACACACACACATATATATATATATATATATATATATATATATTATGAAATGATCCTTGATGATTAGGCTCGTGCATTCAAGAACCACTGGGAACAAAATTATGTCCAAATATTTACAGATTTTGAGATATCAAATCTGGAAAAGCTGCAACTGACTGACTGATTGCTAGCAAGCTCTCATGGCCATACACAGAGAGAGAAAAATAGTTTATGCTATTATGGGTGTATGTTTTTATTACCTCTGCTTTGTGGAGCCTTTTTTTGGGTTGAACTTGGATAAATTATGGTTTTGTGTTTAACAATGCAAAGTACTAACTACCACTGATTATTGCTTTTGTTCTTTATAGCCATGTGTTGGCCTGTCATGACCTTAGAATCATCAAAGCTTTGCTTACCTTTGGCATGAATTTTTTATTCTCATTGTATTCTGTCTTTTGTTCTTTGTCCTAAAGTGGTCTATAAATGCAAAATTAGTACTGCTGTCTGTACAGTTTTTGAATCCTAATATTATGTGTAAATAATTTTTTCCAACGCGCTTTTCAGATTTTCAACCTAAAGTATTTTTTGTTATAAAATGTAACTTGAACTATATATACAGTCACTAGTTGCACGCTCGACCACATTTGACCATACACGTGTTTTTTTTTTTTGCGGATGATCGGACGGTCAAAAACTAGTCGAGCGTGCAAATAATTGTATATATGTAGTTCAGGTTATATTTTACAAAAAAAAATATTTTAGGTTGAAAATTCCAAAAGCACGTATAGTGTTGCAAAAATTTATTTACCCTAATATTACTTGTGGCATAAATCAATTTCAGTTGATTAACCACTGATGTTGCGATATAGTTGTTACCGAACTTTGACGACAAGTTATATTTTATTAATCCAACACATGTTCATACTCCGACAAACCATTCTAAACGTTGGCGACAGGCTAAATTTTATTAGTAGTATATATTGTTGTAAATTATAAAAAATTAAATCATTTAATTCTTGTTAAAAAAGCATATATTAGAGTGTGATCTATGCCTATCTTTTTTATCAGCTCTTGTCAATCCTCTCTTTGTTGAGATTAGGACTTCAACTATCTCATTTACGTCTTATAGTTGTCTTAGAAGAGTATCAATAGAACTCTTGACCATTGAGCCATAAAAGAATTAAGAAAGGATAAACAGAGAGAACATCAACTTTGAAACAAGAATTGATAATAACTAAACTAAGAGTTTTTGTTGTTGTAATGTTTGATCGGATCATTGTGAGATATTTTTTATACGAGAATTACTTATTATTGGATATCATTAGATTGATATTGTCTTTTCCATGCAATTTTTAAATTCTTGTTTTGCTTTCTAATCATCAACAATTGTTCCAGGAGCATTTGTTTATGGAATAATTTGTTCAAAAAATGAGTTATTTTGGTTAACCATAGTTAATTTTGAAAAATGTTGTATGGTTAGTTGTTAGTAGAATTTTAATAATATATTAAAATAATATTTAAAATAAAATGATTAAAATTGATTTGATGTAAAAGTAGGAGATAAATGATTGAAAATGACTACAATAAAATGATTTGATGTAAAATCATCCCACAATTTCGGTTGACATAAATATGTACAGTGTATAAAAGGGTAGTCATTGATATCCTTTTTTATTAACCTCATCAAAACACGCAACACACCCTCAAAATACAAATAAAAAAAACATTATGACACCGTGCTGGGACACAATCTATGCTATCAACAGATCCAACAAGCCATTTTTGAGGTTGAGAATAGTCCATTTGATTGAAACTCATCACGATTTGAAGCATCGGAATGTTGAAACTCATCACGATTTGGAACTATCAGAATGCTTTTCATATCTTGTTTCATGATCAAGAGGTAATTAATCCAATTGTTTTATGAATACATAATTACATATAGAACTATTATTAGAGTTTTTATTGATGTTCTCAATATTTTTTTTTATTAAATTCATTTACGAAATATATTTAATCTTATTAAATCGTATTGTTGTATTACTTTTAGTAAATCGTATTAAAAAAAGGTGTTGTATATTAATTATAATAAATTATATTATAATAAGTATATTATATTAATTTGTGTTTTAGTTAACTGTAATATTTTTTAGGGAGGATAGTAGATAATATTCACTTATGTCACAATATCTGATTCCGAGGCCAAGAGATATTTCACAATCAAATTATAAAAAGTCCGATATATTTTCACCAAATTTATATGGAACATCCACTTATAAGATTGGGTATATGTTGAACTCGAGATTCATCGGATATAATGTTGCCTATTTTAAAGGGAAATCCCGTTAAAATAATTATTACAGATTCGAATATTACTGATTAACACGTTTTAAATTTGGTAGTAATCAAAGCAAATAGTATAATATATAAAATATATTGGAGGCCACCGTGCATTGCCCTATATTCTCTGATAAGATATTTTGATGCCTATATATAACTAACTATCCTATATTCGTTCTAATAAAGAATCAGAGTCCCATATATAACTATGACACACGTCTTTGTGTTCAACAAAACCTCTTCATTGTCTATCAATAGATTTCTCTATAATTTATGTAATACCAATTCGTTGTGAGATGAATTCATTGTGAACTACAATAACGGAAAAGGTTCAATGGAATCGAACCAATCAACACCATTCAGTTCAAGATCTAATGGATCCAAGAATAACATAGGGAGAACCTCAGGTAATTATTATATAATCTCCATACATGAAACATATACTATATATTCGTTTTGCAATATTGATCCATTTATTTAATTATTTACTGCTTTTAATGTATGAATAGGAGTCTATATAATGTTAG